ATATATATATATATATATATAGACGGGACCTAGATGCCATGAATGTCCGATATATCGCTCCTTTCGTTTATGTCTGTGACGTCAAACTAGTCCCTTGAGGGTAGTCGCTGAAAGACCGCCTGTTCTGCGCTGGCTGTGGTGTAGTACATGTTTCTGGTCATTACCGGTTACGTGATAGATTATGATGCTGCGGTTAAACGTCCTTCTTACTTGTGTAGGCACAGCCGCCTATGTCCGGGGTTCGTGTTAGACCTAACCCAGCAGTGCCGCTTCTACCGTCAACCGGATTGGTTAAAAACAGTTGTACTTGGCTTTTCAGCATGGTGTTTGCTCCATTTCACATTCGCAGACCGGCTGTTGAAGCTTTGATATCACATCAGCATAGTCTACTGGGAATATGTTCAGGTAACCCCGGAAATCATTCTCACATAACCAAATTGGCCCATGACACTCTCGTACCCCCCTGATCTGGAACGCCATTAAGTGTGCACTGATCACTGTGAAACAATTATGACAGGAGTTGGAAGACACGGAGGCGCAAAGAAGTTCATTTTCTCACAGTTCACACAATTTAAACCCGGCCAAGCATTATTCTTTTCTGATATTATGTTTAATCCCGAAAATATGTATTTGTGTCAGCCTGTTCTGTCACAGAGTTCAGGTTTGCTCCTTGCTGCTCTGCTGCCATCTACTGCGTATGGCTTTCCGCAGCTGATTCAGTGCGATGAACGTTGATGCATCGGGAGAGGTTCGGCTGTCCGCGGTACAGTAAACGTTTCAAAAGGCAGCCGTCGTCAATCCCGGGAGCACTGCCATCTCGAATGGGGCTACATCTCATTCCGTCATTACCAATGGACTAATCAAATATCGACTGACGGATTTACTGATGTGGGAAACTAAAATCTTTCGAGCGTTTCATTTGCTTGTTCCAGATGACGGTGTACGGTGGGTTGAAAAGTCGGCGAACTGAACACATGATACGAGCAAATTTATCCACAGCATGCCTAAAACCTCCAGTTGTTGTTCATTCGTTTCCAAGTAAACGGAATGGAAGAATCTGCATTGGTCTGCCTTCATCAATCTACCATATAAAGCGGCGCAAGTGGAGGAGTGCGAAAACGCTAGGTGGATTCGGATGGAATGGAACTGAGACTTATGCTCCTCCCAAAACATTTAGTTCCTCCAGAAGAATATCAGTTTATCAAACCAGAACTACCAAACCCGCAAGACAAGATGAACCATGACCTTCGATCGCACAACACATTGATGTCACAGGCTGTGGGATTGAACAAATGCCGTTGTTCCAAATCGTGGTGGGCAACATGAGCCAGATTCGGTGTAGCCTTGTGAGTCGATCAATACTCACCAGCCTTGTACGTGCAGAATTCTCCTAAGCAAGAGATCTCCTTGTTGTAGGAGTAACTTTGGCTTTTATAGATCGACTAAGACAGTTGGTTCCATTCTTCCCAGTCATTCTTCTACAGTGATGTCCACAAAATCAACTAACCTTACTAATTCCACCAACAAGATTGAAGCAAATTGTTGACATTGTGTTGCGCAGGCAAAAATAGCTATAAGCTGGTATCACATGACCACAGGAACGATAACCCAAGACTGCTGGAAAACGTGTTGTATACACAATCTCGGCTTTTTAACTTTGACACAGGATCCTGCTGATGTCTGGAGATTTTGATGCTACTTACGTAACAACAATGTGTACAAAGTTTTGCCGTCTATTTTGTAGCCGTTTGGGAATGTAGGGATAAATGGATATATTGTTTTTTCACCCTTTACGTCGCAGTCATTAGTGAAAAAACAACACTGCGTAATTTGGCTTGGCGTTTCGGTCACCGATCAACTCCATACTCTCCGATGTCAGTGCTTTTAGACTGTCAAAATCCGAAAATACCATTTACCTTTTTATTCAAAGTTCGCAGACCCGTATCGTCGGTACAGAAATTTTCGAAACAATCCCTCCGGTTGCCATCACGTGACGTCAAGTGAATCGTACTGTTTCCCGTCAGTTTAACATGGTTTGTTTGTTCATGTTTCATATACAAACGACATATCTCAAGTCTCGTGGAAGTTGAGAGTAAGGGAATCGTTATCGGGATACGTTTCCATAAGGATACGATACAAAACGCTCATCACTAAAAAAGGATCCATATAGGTGCGCCGGAAACTATTCATTAGGCGTTTAAATAGCTTACAATTTTCTGGTGCGTTTGCGAGTGTAGCACAGTGATGATGGAGTCAAAGGTGTGAGCAAAAATGACTACTCGGCTAACAGTGTCCTTTACCAGGTCCCGTCAGCGTAGCGTGTGTGAGAGGTCCAACCTTAGGATCACAAATCTAAACTAGGGACGCATTGGCTCCAGTGGTATAGACTTCAGCGAACTGGAGAACGTGAGCTAACTTTAGCGTGGGTAGACAACAATGAAAGTATGTACAACTCTATTGAAGAAGTAACTATGGACCTGACATCCGAGTACCAGCCAAGCGTATGCTTAAGTGGCTTTGGATTTTGATTCTGTCCAAAATCAGAAAGATAGCTATGAGGTGGATATCTATACAATTTCGTTCACTTCTATATAAAAAAGCGGCTTGGGTTTTCGTCCTGCCACAGGTCTGCCAATCAGTATGGTGAAATTGGTGCAGCGAATGAAGGGTTGTAAGGTATTGCACAAAACTGCCAAGCAAGTAACCGGTAGTCTGCGATTATATGGAACGGACAAAATGCAGTTCCGAATCTGAAGCGCAGAAACAATCACGTAGACCAATCAGAATGTTCGAGGAAACACAAGAGAAGGTGGGTTCGTGGTTGAGGGAACAGGTTAGCTCTTGCTCAAATCTCGGTGAAAAATATTCAGGAAATATGCTCCGATTAGTAGGAGAGCATAAAACACCGAGATGGCCAGTTCGTCCTTACTTCCTGACATACAAACAATCAACACAGTATCCATCGTTTTACGCTGTCACAGCGGATAACACTGATATGCTGAAGCACGTGACACTAAACGCAATGAGTGAAAGACAACCAAAAATAGTTCGGGGACGACAACGGCAGTTGACATCAGAATTTGCAGGGTGAATCGATGCTCCGAGTTGGGACGTTACAAATTATAGCACTTACCTTGCCTGCCTTGTTTTCTTTTTTCTTTTTTCCAATCGCCAGTTTGCTCTTTAGTCCCTTACGTTGCACCCTGTTACCCGTAGGCGTTGGATTAGGAGTCGCCTTAGTCGGTTTTGGTTTCGAGTAGGACGAATGACCGCCCCCTATAACAATAGATTCTCCAGTAATCAGTTCCTGCTTCCACAACAAGTAGTTGCTGTCCATATTGTTGATCAATTCACACGTCAGATGTGACCGGAAAAATTCGTGCCATTTCATGAACAGCGGCCGAATGAGATTATCGACGAATGCTAGAGGTAGAAAACAAAGGTTGAAAGAACTGGGTACCGAATCACAGTTTGTGAGAGGTATACCTATGAAAGAACTGCTAACAATGAGAGCTGTTCTTGATTATTTGCTTACATCACGTCACTAATTATACGTTAGCACCGAGTCCCAGCTTTTAAGTACGAATGTCGTAGAGGTTTGACCAAGTATTCCAAGTTCGGTAGTGCGCAAGATTTACAAATTTGCAATGGAGATTTCGTCGAGTAAAAAAATCGTTCAGCTGTAGCACGCTTTCGGTGCCCAGCTGACATGCAACCTGAAGAAAGCACGAAGGATACTGACAGGTTGCCCATGCCTAGACAGGGGAAGTCGAGAGGCAGAGGTCGAGTTTGAACCACGGACCTTCTGGTCAGCAAATTCGCACTCTAGCCAGTTAGTGAAGCCAATATTTGCTACTGATGATTCTTAATGCGAACGGAAAAACTTGTAGTGCTTCTCGGATTTTCAGCTTCAATGAGATGGAGAAATCTCCATCAAAAATTTTTATTTTGACCGGAATCACATAACCAAACTGTTGACAGCTGAACAAGCTTAGCTCGCGGAAGCCCACAAAAAGAGGGTGGTGATAATGCGCAGCAGAAAACGAATTGATTCAAAATATAATTGCCGTTGAAATGGAAACTGAGGAGGAGTGACACCCACCGGTTCTCTATCGTAAGGTATGGGATGGTAGGCCCAAATTCACATGGTGTAAACGACCCTGGTAGCACATGAAAAAGGATCACTGGTATTGCATGAGATTATCTACTAAGGGCACTGCTTACGTCAGACAGTTATGAGTCTAGAATTTACATGTGATTCACCAAGCTACCTCGTAACGGATTAACATCAATGGTCACAACATTGATGTCGTCCGGATGTCCCACCGTGCTACCAAACCGCTGGTGTCCTTGTGAGATCAAACATGTAGTAATCTACTCCCCAAAAGGTCAGAAATAAATACAAAGAATCGAAAAAGCAATTTTACTGATGCAGTGCAGAACAACTAACCCATTTGTATGCGCGGAACAGAAGCTGCATTTCTATCACAACCAATACTTGGTGCCAAGGACCACCGAAGTCGCTCTTGATCTCCCTGTCCGAAAAATTCTGAACATATTCGATAAGCCCATTGACGGCAGGATTCCCATGGACGACAAGGATTGCTGATGTCAGCGCACTTTAACGTTATCTGGAGCCGAAGTATGAACAAACATGCAACAAAGATTAAAAAGCTAAGAAATGTGGAACACGCAAAGAGAATAGCAGGTATACTCTATTCATTTGAGTTCATCGCTTACTGAGCAGCTTATGGAACCAACAACAACAACAAATACCCGCAATCCGCTCAATTTAGATTGTTCTATCGGTTTGGATTGTCGCTTGCTACATGTTTGTTTCAAACACGCAACAGATGATTAACACGCGATTAGTGGATTTTAGAGATAAACCTACTTAGATGAAATCTGTATAGGTGAGGCATTATTTGACAGTGGGGGAAAAACCCTGGGCATAATGTTGTGCAAGACGGCTTGATTCTACGCTGACCTCCGTTTTGGGATGTCGTACACCTGTCATCTGATCGATAAAAGTCGTAGGAGACGATTCTCTACTTAGTCTACAGGTGCTTACGGGCGAAGTTAGCAAATTGGATTAGCGCAGCCCGAAATCACTCTATACGCCAGCTCACGAGAAAAATTAACACGTTTCTAAATGATTCAAGTTTGTTTTCCAAAGTACTACATTGCTCTCAGGTAGTCCTCCATTCTAACGACCTACACAGTGTGACACGCTGTGCGCTGTTCATCAACACGTGGCTGACGAACACCGGCAATCACAATCACGAGCCCGCCGGGCAACACAGACCAGAAACTACCACATCAGTCACCAGCATCATCAAAACGAGTGCAGTGCACCGATTCCTGCGACGTACGACAGGCTGAAATTCGAGCAAATTCTGTAGCAGTGATTCAGATAAGTGACCAAGCAGCTCGTCCAGGGATCCTGTCGTCAGAGAGCAAATACATACCGACTCTTCGGTCCCGGTCTCCAAATCTACATCTCATCTTCATGAACAGGTGAAGAAAACCATGGATTTTATAACATGAGCTAATATGCCGGAAATTTATGTTATTGGACAGAAATCATGGGCACGACTAATTAATTCATGGATGGAAATATAAATGGGAAAAAGAAGAGCATATGGATTGATGGGTCACAGAATCGATTAGGTAGTCGGTACGAGTTCTAACGTCGTGTGGATTCCCTTCGGGCACAGAACTCTGGGTTACGTAACCGACACTTGTTCAGAGGTGGCAACTGCTTGACTGCGAAGGAGCGCTGATTGTTTGTGATGTGAGTGGTCTCGGCAACAAGTAACTCGACTGTACTCCAGTAAGAGTTATTCCAACTAACACATCGAGAAACTGTAGTGTGTGCAGGTTAGTTGTCCGACATGACTGGTTGGAATAGGACACGGGTAGGCCTGACAATATTGTTTGGACCACTGAATGCCTGCGCATAGTTACGACAGCATAAATGGCTTGTCTGGACCCCGTGTTATTGTGGATATGACTGTGAATTTGATGTGGACGAATGGGAATCGGCGAGCGAGCTCACAAGGACCTGTTGAGATCAATCCGCCGGCTTAAGCAAAGTGACGTTACAATGAACAAAAGCATCACATTACACAATAACGTACTAGTGTCCTCTGTCAACTCCCCACATAAATTTAATGGAAATTTCCATTTATAGCAGAATTTGTAGAGTAAACAAATGTGCTACTCAGTCTCAAGCTCTCACGTTCATAATATGGTATGCATAAAACAGGGGGAAAGTCTGATAAGGGCAGAGCTACGCAGGATGACGGGATAGAGCCAGAACCGCCAGACAGACTTTCATAGGTAAAGAGACCACGGCACTCCAGTAAAACATAACAGGGAAACACAGGATTTTGTTTAGCAAAATGACTTGTGTATGGCTCCGAAAAGCCCAATAGGTCAACGCAATAAACTACGTCTATGTGCATCAGTCTGGGACATGAAAACAAACCACAACTGCTTTTGATGTGCATGGTAGCTGGTGTTGGAAACTGTCATGGCAAAGACGACTACTAATGACCCGATATGCAACATTAAAGTCTTTAAGCTGACCAGTAGCCGTCTGCGCACTCACTCCATTAGCTAATTCGCAGTTCAGCCTATGCATGTCGCTGAAAATAAGTGTTGTAAATAGCATAAACGCAAAAACAAGTGAAGTATCAGTCTTTGAAGCCTTCAACGAGTATTGGATGCGTGAGAAAGTGAATCCTAAATAAGTTTGGACTGAAAGTACTTGATAAACAGGAGTAATACTTTCACAGGAACTACCGTCGTTAAACAAGAGACTAGAAAATAACTAGTCGAAAACGAGCCTTCACAACTGCAACACTTATTTGCGGCTTGAGCCAAGTATCCAACATTCTGAAATTTTACAACCCAAACAAATAGCCTATGAAGGGGTCGCCCGTGCTGAGTGAGCAACAGATGCGCCAAGGCCAACTATCTATACATGCACAAACTCAGGCCAAGTTTATGAGAACACACAGGATGCCGGGACCTAATCATAATCATATGACTTGGTAAATGTGAGGCGCTCAAGCGATCGCGTTTAGGTGTAAGGAATGGCGCTGATGTCAATAGACAAAATCGTTCAGCTGTAGCACACATTCGGTGTCAAACTGTCGTGCCACCAGAAGGAGGTACGAGGGCTGGTATACTGCCAGGTTGCCCAAACCTAGACAGGGGAAGTAGCGAGGCTGAGGTCGGGTTCGAACCATGGACCTTCCTGCTAGTAAATTCGCACTCTAACCACTAAGTCATCTCGCCCCCAGTCAACAGACGACGAGCAATTTACTCAAAGCCAAGTTGTTAGAAGTGAAAGGCTAACCAAAAGTTGACGGACAGGAGACATGGCATGATTTCGTGTCAAAGTATCATAATAACTGACACACTAATACACAAAACATTCCCCATATGTCTAGCCGTATTAAATGGAAAAAATATATGATTTACCACACCACCGTACCCAGATGTGAAATGCTCACACTCACCACAAAGTCTCATCAAAATAACTCAGCAACGAAAAGACAAGCAATTGAAGAAGATGAATATCACTTTGCACTCCTCTTGCAGTACTTTTGGGGTGATAGGCCTCGAATTCTTATAAACTACGAGTAAAATGAGTTATTTTACAAACTCACTTTAACGGAACTCTCGTCAGACACATTAGGAATTCACAATATTGGCTATGGTTCGGAGTTACTAATCATCGAAGGTCAAATGAATTTAAACTACAACAAATGCCAAAGGCCATCCGTTTTTCGAGGTCCAATTCATCCTGACAGCTGCTTACCACAGTATCATATATGGGCTTCGTCTTAAGGTGAAATAGATCAGTCGTGTGTCTGGACGTTTTTGGGGTGAAATTTCAAATGGGGTTATACTACTTACAACGTCGCTGAAATAATACAAGTCATTTTATCTCATCTAAAAGTCATACGCTTGTCTTGGGGACATCGAAGAATAGAGAACTGAGTGCAAACAGCTTAATTATCAATCAAAAATAAGAAACTCGGACAGAGTAAAAGAATTCGCGTTCTTTTGCGTACACGCGGTTTCACTTTCAAGGCAAAACGTAATCAAGTTCATCAACTAATTGAACGCATTGGTTACAAAGCCGACAACCAAGGGGATTCGGAGCACGAAGACTGCATGTAGACTTCGAGAGAAGCAGTTAAATTAGCTCATATGTCACTGTACATTTCATACTGTGTAGCACTCTCCTCCTCCACGATTCCTGCTCTAAAGAGGAGGATCGGGGTAAATTCATAAGGATGAGGACGATAATTAGGCATGGATGTTCATAATTTCCATAGCTTCAATAGCTTTCGGACTTTCTGAGAGACGTAAGATGATAGATCAAGAGATGAATACAGCTTTGAAGGGAATCCGGAATGCTCTCGGGTATAGCTAACGGCACTTTCATCTGATAAATGAAGCCGCCAATAAAGCCAATGCGGTACCCTGGCCACGAATTACGCACCACTAGTTGCAATGGCAAGACAAGGGAGAGGGAAAGTGTGCAGAAACCTCCTGATGAGTAGTAACTATGAAGCATCAAAAACACTTTAGCATAATGAAAAAGACTCTAGAAATCCTCAAAGATTTTCTATGAACGGAAGCCGAAAGATGGCTCACGTACCAGGTGCTTCAGTTGACAAAGTTAGCAAGAGATCTAACCACAAAGAATATCGAGGAAATTCACAGATGGAAATTGTGGGGCAACGTTACACGTTACCGTGGAGAACGAAGATGTGGTCGGTCGATCAACACCGTGAATGGTATGGTACCGTGTACACTCACAGTTACGGATTCATAACGCAACAATTTCGACTGTACTACTGTGTACTAAACAAACCTTGCCAAACACAGGTTCACATCCTAGTCATAGTTTCATCAGATTCCAAGAGTAACACAACAAGCAGCTTTCAGGACTCAGTGCCTCGGCTAGTAAGCCCTCCGAATATCCGTATCTGGGCGGTATCCCGCAACGGAAAGAGAATGTGGACCGGAAGATTGGGTATGTTTCTTCTCCGGTCTTGAAGGAAGTATGCACAACCGTGGCACATACACCAGATGAGCTACAAGGGTATTGCGTAGCCGTTTGTAATTGGTTCAACTTCTCCAGGGAAAACCTGAGAAGCTCACAAATCGGATCAACGGGGAGTCTGTTACCCCGTTAGTAATTAGATTGCTATTGGACTTTACATAACCATAACGAATAAAACAATGCGATAATGCAATCCATGCGATCCAATATTGGTCAACGTTGCGCTAATCTTTCAGCAGGTGACAGGGTATAGGTGATGGGAGCCACTTCGTTCTGGTATACGACAGTTACTATAAAGTAGGTCTCTCAAGTAATACTGGAACTGTTTCAAATTAAGAGGTTTCTCTTTAAGATGAAAACATCGGGTCATCAAATTATAGTCCCCCTAAGTAAACTACAAAGTAAAATATCATACATTAATAAGTAACGGCAACCCAGAAGTTAAGTTCAGTATCGAAAATTTCAACAAACTGCTTGTCTTTGCAATCTGAAAAACGTAACTACTGATTTTCACTCGGGGGTTAGACTTTTACATACGAACCGAGTGTGGAAATTCACCAAATTCAGTTATTTCCGGAGTCAAGTAAGATCTTCAGGGAACACCTTTTTCCAGAGTTTCGGGCATACATGGCCCCAGCATATGAATAAAATTCAGTAAGTAATGAGTTCTTTCACTTCTGTGGTGGTCACCCTGGTTCCTTCGCCTAAGTTGTCCGATACATCTACACTCACTAGATCATGCGTCCCGTTCCACAAACACACAAATCACGTGTGACAAAATCCTGTCCCGCTTGGCAACCTTGACCGATAACATGTACACTAAAATTTCCCACCCGTTTTGTCTATGCGGCTACCACCTGCATTACGTACCACGCTTTTACTCTTCACCCACATCAAGTCAAGTTGTGCAAGGTCAAGTTTTTGCAACTGTCACACAAGATTGGTCACCCCTCTCTACGCATTAAACACAACAAGTACGCATGCAGATCGATGCAGCAATAACACACAGGGTAGGAAGACAACCGAACTCCACAAGACCAAGTACACGGAACACGTGTAGCAGCTATACTGCAAAGAAAACACGTCATGCCTCCGGACCTTCACTCGAGCACTCTTACCAATCGTGCCTAGATGATATGACCTTGACTAGACAGTCCACGAACATGCAGTAGCCAAAGGCTACAGAAGAATTGTCAAAACGACAAGTCACCTTTCTGAAGCATTTCATTCTGCTGACACTGTATTTAGTTCATTAAGATGCACTATCGTTTGGATTGGTCCACTCACAGCACTTGCCCTGATGGACATTAAGCTACATTTCGAGGGATTAGGGTCGAACAGTTTGGTTCGGCATCTGATGTCAACAGCCAGTAGCCTGCAAGGCTACGTGTCGACCTGTGTCCACACAATGCGGTCCGAACAGGGTGAACCCGGTAGTGGTCCATCGAGGAGATTTTAATCAACCTCCCTCTAGTCCTAAAACACCAAGTGAGCGTTTTACAGTAATTTATTGGGGCGTTTGATTTTACTTTAGATTTCCAACCACGAACTGTGTGCAACTGCACGTTAGTTCAGGTTACCACAGTACGTGGACACCGATATCCAAGATGGGGAAGTGGATTAACTGAGGTCCATAAAGCAAGACGAAGGATTGACTGAAACTCACATACGAACACCGACTGTGGTTACCTTTAATAAAAATTCGACGCAGTAAATTTTGCTTACTGTGTTGTTGAATTAGAAAAGACCTGGTTAGGTGGTTTGTACTGAACCATTGAGCAGTACTCGTGGTTGCTGAGAGTTCACGGCCCATGTTTAGAGCTACATGGTAAACGCAATGCCGGTACACTCGCTTTTGAGTAAAGAAATTAAAATATCTATTTGTCAGGATAGATTTCGTTCCACTGCGCGCATTGAAATTTTCATTGATTCGAGCCAGGAACGGTAAGCGCAACAGCAAGCTTGGGTCGCTGTTGTACCGCAATGCACTCCAAATGGTAGCAAACGGACGATTTGTTCCTAGAAGACCTCATGATTAGGATGTGGCAGTACGGAGTTCTGTTGCCAAATGTCTAGTCGTACTACCCAACACTTTCATTTGTCCAAAAGTCCATTCGGCGTACCCGTTTCGTGCAGTTCGCTGACATCAACGACAATGTAAATGCACTGGGTGAAAAATGGATGCCGGTGATTAACGACGTTACGTACCTGTTATGACATGTCTTACAGTCCCAATCAAAAGTAAACCGAGTTTGCGAACTATCGCTTCACTAAGAAGTTGTTACTGAACCACATTTAGGCCTTACTTAGGCATTCCTTTCTTGTGGTCAGCTGCGTAAACACGATACGTGCTGTGACAGACAAAAGAAGGAACCGCAAAGACGGACAGCAAAGAAGATTTATCAGTTATTTGTGGCGCTTTATTCTGGTACTCACCTGAAGTAAAAGAATTCGATCCTCTGGTGTATAGGAGTAGGAAGCATCGTTTTTACTAGCATTCAGCATTTCCTAAAAAAGAACGGATACGACCTTTTAGTATGTAAAGGATAGAAGATGAGCGACCAATTGTCGGAATTTTAATGAGCAATGGAACACAGGATTTCAATTATTTATGAGGGTGCGGAGGAAGCTGGTAAAATAAACTCAGGTGTTACCGATTCCGCGAGGACGAACAATTACGGTTAGGGGATCATCAAAATGTTGCCACGTTGGGCTTTGATCCCACCCTGTCCAGAAAATAACGCGCAGTTACGTGGATTTTTTTGTCAGTGGAGAAAATGCAGATCCATTCCTATTGATACGACCAACCGTTTGGAGGATAATATACGCAGATGCATCCGTCTATGACTGGAATGCAGAAGGCGGACAAACTTTCTAGGTGATTCTTTTCAACACGTTCGGTGATACTCAGTTGGATAAAACCCTTTGCGTTATTTTCATAAAGGAAACGACTCACAAGGTTGCTGAAAACTCTTCGACAGCCCACGACAGGTTTCGCCCTTCTTGGGACTCATCAGGTAGGTGCATTTCCCGAGTTTCCGTTATCTACAAACTATGATACTGCTACTTACTGAGTGGAAAAGATTTTCAGCTATGGGTGTTTCCCCAGTTTGTGACGCTGTTGATGATGACGATTGTAAGCCTACTTCCCCGGGTGATCGGTCTAGCGATTGCAGATAAGTATGGCACTGGGATGATAATCGTGTTTATTGAACGGTCGCACAAACATACACGCTGTTTGTTACTCCTCAAGTGGACAAAGTCAGTACGAACTCAGTGAGAGTAACCTTTTCACTACTGAAATACAACCAATTGCATACCAATCTGGTTTTGACGGGAGACTCATCTGGGAACCAGCTGAATCTGCTGTTTATGATGTTCTTAAGCGAATGAATGTGTGCATTTGTCAAAATCTGTCTAAGCTGGGTTCAAATAGAACAGAAGGTTAACGGAAACCTGGGGACTGCGCCTGCCTGACAAGCCCCAAAAAGGGCGATGGAAAAGTTTTCAGCACCCCTATGAGTAGTGCACTACGTCTATAAAATTCTCTCTGTTTCTTCTATTTTCCAGAAGAATTATCCATTTCCACTACACAAACATCTTGCCTGGCTCACCTCATGACTGAACTTGCCAAATGGGTAGTTTGACACGTGTTCGTAATCCTGTGAGCGCCCTTCACCACTATCACTGGGTAGAACATGTGGTATAATGCAGTCCTGGAAGCATATATTGCAGCGTCAATTGCGCCACCGTCGAATTGAAGAGGAAACGAGTGATCAAATACCGATTGCCGTTGATGTAACTTCGTGGCCCGTTTCACTGCTTGGATTATGTAGTACTATGAAGTAGGCTAGTAGTGGCTGCATGATTATGACGCTCTGGTCCAAATGCCCATAAAACTTTTTAAGGGTCGTACACGGCAACGTATGCCGCGCACTTAACACAATTTTTTCAATTCTACAGCCCAAGAAAGGGTGATTTATTGTCGACGGGCACTTTACTCGGCCCTATTTCAGTTGACACCTTCATGGGTGTAGTGGAGCTTTTGTAGCTAACCCATCTTAGTCGTTGGTTTCCGGTCCCCTTCGACATCATCCGTACGTTGCTGATTTGCGCTTAATAGTTTACCTACGGTATGTAATATGTGAAACACGATAAGCTGATTGGTGGTGAAACGTTTGAAAAGCGACCTTCCGGGCCCGCGGACAGATCAATGGCGAATGGACATATCCGAGTTAGTAAGATTCTGTAACACCAAATAATGGCATGTAGCTGCCACAAAAAGGAGGAGAGGATACCCTAGTAGTAGGTTGAACGGAGTGGAAACGATAGGTTCTTAGTACCAAAAGGATAACCAGCAAGTACGAAGCATCCAAGCCATCGAACAGGAACGAAACGAGAACACCTGAGCATCACGCCGGAATAGGAGGCTACCAACAGAAGCGACCTGCAATCTACCTTTTTGGAACCTTGTCCAATGTAAACCCAGAGCACAACAACACATGCGATCCAGCTGGACGGGCTGGCTAGAAATGACAGCAAGCTCACCACTGGTAGTAGTGTATAATAGCCTATGTCCAAAACATCTAAGCGTAATAAGTTTTCTTAGCAGCCCTGATGATTCTGACTTATTAATAAGCACTAGGTTGCGCGGATAGGTTGTAGCTATTGGGATCCTGCATGCTAAGAAGGCCGTTGTGATCGAGCGTTTGGAATCGTTAGAGGCGTCAAATCTCACAACCATACAGTAAGACCGTTCTTACAGTTTCATTGTACATGGTTTCTGAGTCCTAAGTTGCGAACTTTCGCGAATGCTAATCGTGCCTTACTAACGCATGCATTTACTTCATATGTTACGGGAGATTCGAGGCGTATATCACTGCCAAGATGCTTAAACCAATAAATGAGCCGAATTTTTTCTACCTTGAAGTTCCAAAGGGATATACAAGGGCAGTGACAAGCCATAAGTTGCAATTCTAACATGCAAAGGGCACGTCAAAACAAGAAACCACTGCGAATATCCTGTACTGATAGCAGCCGGACAACAAAGCAATGTCATCTGTACATTTCTTTCTCTTGGAACTGAGCGTTCTACAGCTTTATCAATGTCGAAATCCGACAAAGAGGGAGATAAACGGCAACCCTGGAGAGCCCCCCCTACTTAAGGAGGAAACACTTCTCAACCGTTCACTATTCGCCTTAAACACCCCAGGAATTAAGGGACATTCCCTTTTGTTCAGTTATAGGAAAGCAACCAACGAACACCTGGAATTCAAGCAAAACACAAACTGATGGTAAACGGTATGCGTGGAGATGTTCAAGTATTTGACACAATTCACGTTAGAAATCTTACTTCACGCTCTCAGATTTGCGTGGCGCAGTATTGGGAAAGTCAGTGTAAGGTTACGACGGATGTGAGCAAGGCCCTCACACACATGATCGGAAAAGACACTTCGGATAATTTTCTTGAAACAAAGTAAGCAGAAAGTTGCAGACCAACTAGTGCCAGTTAATCAAATTGCTGACCAGCCGCTCGTGGCCGAACGGTCAAGTGTTCAAAGTACTAGCCAGGAGGTCGCGGGTTCGAGACTCTCCGGAGTTTCGTGAGATGCGCACTTCCGCTGGTTCCAACTAAGGATTAAACAGCTGTGCAGTAATTCTCGGCTTTTCAGCATAGACTGGCTTCACTGACAGGACGAAATCTCCACAAAAAAGACCAACTGGTAGATATTTTAGTCGGTTTTCCCATGTGTTACCGTGTTGTGCATAGACTAATCAAAATGTGCTCGGCACTAGCTAATGAAGCAACAACTTACTGTAAATTTGTCTCGATAAAATCCTTGATAGGCCATATCCGTGGCGTGTACCATTTTCACTATACACTCTCGCATCGTGTTCCTTGATTAATGTGAAACAAGGAGAAACAAAAAGGCCTTCAGTGACCAGAATAATTATGCATTAGGAAGAACAGCTGCCCAAAATGAGGTGGTTAATTAACTTGAGAACAGGATAATGGGAAAAAAAGAATGGAGAAGAGGTGCACGATCACGTCGACATTGTTCCGAGCGACGGAAGGTGGAAAACCTGAAATGAAGGTAGTGAATTTCCATGGTCCAGTTTAAATCATGTAGCCAAGTCACAGAAGTGTGAAACACGAGAAAACGGAAAAACAGTAGGACTGGGTAACATAATACGCATGCTCAAAAGGTTATTGCGTTGAAGTGGGCGACGGACTTGTGAAAAGAAAGAAAACGGAAGGCGCCTAGAAGGTATCATTTTAAGCGTGACACAATTGTCGCTGAGTAGTTTCTGTATGGGTTTTCGTGATTTGTCCCGACTTGCTTACTGCTATTTGACACCAATGTGAGGTCCGCGAAGCACGTGTACAATGTTTCGATTCATGCAACTCTATTACAAAGCAGCAAGAAGTACTGTTAGCACTGGAGATTATCATCATAATCAAAGACAGCAACATCAGTGTTGACACTGATGCTTCACTACCGTACAACGATAAAGCTCATCTAAGAGTGAAAGGAAACGAAAAAGTGTGGTTGAGGAAAGGGACCTAATGTTGGCATTCTGAGGTACATACACCTCAAAGCGCTCAATCAGACAACCTGGAAAGAAACTGACAGCACGAACACCACTGACATCGATTAGCCATTATGTCTTGTAATGTCTACAACCAAGTCTGACATTTCATTGTTTCGATCATTGGGGGTCTTGCGGCCTTCGTGCAAGCGTGGTGGGAGCATGTGTGGACTGATGACAAAATCCGCCAACGTATTTTCGAAACTAGATATCTCAGTAAACTCCTGATCATAATGACCGCACGATAAAAGCTTACTCGCTTGGAATCACGTGCTAGTATATCCACCGGTCGTTTGTTATTTGTGGAATCGGGGCTGGAAAATCCACCACGAGGCAAGATGCTGTGTAGCAAATGAGTGAAGACTGTGACTTCGTATTCCAATTTCAAGGCTAGGACCTCAGAGGTCTTCGTCCACGAGGGACTTGCGGCCAACTTCACTTCTTGACGTCGGTTCCTTTCTTCATTCTTCCGCGTTTCGTGATACTCACGCCGGATGTATTATACATATATGGACGCAGCATATCTATAGAGCTGTTGTCTTCAGGCTGGAGGGAACGACACGACACAAAGAACTGTTCTGCTCAACCTGTACAATCCAGAAGAGGCCAAACCATATTTCTCTTCCGTAGAGGAAGTCAGCAGCCTCGACAGATGGGACCACAAAACTAATTGTACTGTCCACTTTGTGGATTTCGTTTTAAAAATTGCCAACGGATCCATTCATTACTTTCTTGACCTGTTGGGTTTCAAGGTGATGTTTACGACACAGTTGTGGTTCCGTTAGATACCGTAACGGATGGAAGCTCATCTATCTTCAACAATATGGAGGGTAAAGAAACCATCGACTTGTTTGGATGGTTGCTCTAAATGTTGAAAAAATGCATATCCACCTATTAAAGCCGGTGACGTCCGCTCACTGTCAGACAAACCCACAAATCTATCAGAGCTTCTGAACCGCAAAACACTCCGAAATAATGGAGTTTTCAGCATATGAGTAGTGGTTACGTCTGCACAACATTGGAGTTATATCGTTTCGAGAAAGCCAGCTTTATTCTGGTTTTAGTAACAGTATCATCACATTTGAAGATGACAGTAAATTTCGTGTTGACCGCCCAGCGTAGTACAGTCGCTGTCGCTGTCATGTGCGCTTACAGGAAATGATATTGTTGCCCGAAATTCATGTTGAGCTCTCCTTAGGATACGCCAGATATCTAGTCGTAGAGTACAAACCCTGCCCTTACTTTAACGCACGCACCGCTTCCCCAACATTGTTAATTCCTTCTCCGCCGGAGATATTGCCCGTTCGTGAAGTAGCATAGCAGGTGATCTGAACAGATGAGAGTATTGCTTTATAATTTCCTTTGGATTGAAAATGGCTATGTGCATCCCCACAAATCTGGACGCCCAACTTTAGTAGATTTGTGGATAACAACGATAAATTCGCCACACGCAAGCGCGCCCAAATTAGCTCTTGGAAATCTAACTCTTTCACCAGATATCCATTTAAAATCGAACTACCGTGTGACTGATCAGCAGGTCCACAATGTGCTGCTCAACCGGTAACATCAGCTGGGAAAATGCTTACTCCCATGGATTATTCGATGTTCTCTTAATTCAGTTCTTCAGTGTACTGCCAGAACCTTGTCAGGTAAGTGGACTTCTCGTCGGATTCGTACTGTTTTGAGACAACCTATATTAAACGCGGTGACAATCGGGATTTAGCGACGACCGGAAATCAAGTGGTCAGTGGATCAGATAAAAGCTAAAATCGATCGGCTGGACAGGTTGTTTGTCGACACTTGGCTTAGGCAGTATTATCCAGCACTAATGCGGTCATTGTTTCGAGTATTCCGTAGAGTGCGTTGATGTAGACATGGCCAACCATGAATGAAGAAGTCTGAGAGACCTCTGTTCCCTTAACGTACGCGAGCGGGACAGACTAAACTGACGACTCTGACGGTGCGGGAAACAATACTCCCACTAAAATCAAGCAACTCTTGTGGTCCTGACCTTGTGCATTTCTTAAAATAATAAATAAATCATTCAGCTGTAGCACACTTTCGGTGCCTAGCTGCCATGCCACACGAAGGAGGCACGAGATCTGGGATACTGCCAGGTTGCCCAAGCCTAGACAGGGGAAGTCGAGAGGCAGAGGTCGGGTTCGAACCACGGACCTTCCGGTAAGTAAATTCGTGCTCTAACCACTTGGTCCATCTCGTCCCCTGTGCATTTCTTAGTAGGCACGGCCTCGTGGATCACCAGCGCACTCACACAGGCTCACCTATTAAACAAAAATAACACTAAATGAAAGAAATTTGTTGCACTTTCTGATCAGCACCCGCAAAAGATGGCTTGCAAAAGGCCTTAGCATGTTCACCTGCCGGTCTTATTTCCTCCGGTCTACGCAAGCGTGAAAGTCTAGGACGCGATACCACGATCGGCTCCGCACGAACAGTTTTTTCGTTATCCAGTTGTGCAGAACTCGGCCGGTCATGTTCTTCGTATTTTGAATACGCAGAATTAATTTGATGCGTCTGTCTTTGGAGAACAAGTCTCGAGGCACTTCCGTAAAGTCTTGTTTAATCTGATGTGTGAATATATCACCACCCAAACCGGTTGCTCGATAATGTGCTGCCAGAAAAGTGTTTACAAGCCTTCATCGGCATCACCATCGACAGCAGAACATCAGTGTTCAGCAATAAAGCTTCACCACCATATCTATGAACCTTAGGGCTCACAACCTACAGCATAGTACCCGCTCCACAGCTCTACGCATTACAACACTACTTGCGTCCTCCCTAACGGACTATTCATGTCATATCTGGTGGCACGGATGTATTCCAAACTCAAGGCATCACAGACAGCTGCTCAACGTACATATAGTTTTTAAGAGCTTAATCTTCCGAGGCAGGGTTTGTGAGATGAAGCTTTAACGCAGATTACATATGAGGATATACTTGTTTCAACGAAGTAGAAAGAAGTCTGACTCTATTAGGAATGACACGGCCAGTCGATGATTTCCGAAACGTCCCTAGACTTTTGCAAAACTCTTTATACCTGGTTGAACAGAACTAATGGGAGGGTCGACGGCTGTACTCCTAGTTGTAGCGGTTACGGATGACCCTGTGCTTAACACGCTCAAGTGTACGTTGGTACTTGTTTCTTGAACTAGTTCAACTCTCTGCTCTCAGGGTTTGTAGTCGTTTAATGGAATCGGCATATCTGTCTTCAGAGATGATGATGATGATGATGATCTTCAGAGAATTCTGAAATAATGTGATGAGTGACCACGCAAATCCACCTGATGATGAAATAGATGCGACAGTAAGGAGTGCGAACAAACCGCACAAAACGCGGTTGGAATGATGAGTCTGATATTTCGTCTTATTGGGAAAATTACACTGAACTGCCTTACGAGACGTCATCTTTTACAGCTGATTGCAAACAAACGATTTCCCCAAAATACCGTACCGACTGGGGTGTTTGAAGTCGTAACCAGGCTTTTCTCAACCGTAAAGTGCTCTAAAAATGGTGTTGCTTCCGCACTGTTGTAGATTGGTTCAGGCCTAAACCTCACCTAATCACCAGCCTGACGCGAAATAACAGTATTGAAATTACTTTGTAAAGTCGAAATATTGTACGGGGTTCACCACCTACAGGGTTTCACATGATGTGAGAGACAGTGGAGATCTCAGGATCACTATGATATCAGACAGATCCATGAAAGAATTATGCAACAACGGCAATATCTACATTAAATTTTGAGAGCATGCAAGTCTAGTCATAAACCTTGTGCATACGGCGTTACCAACTGTCCGAACATCAAATGGGAGTAGCATGAAATAGTAATCTCGAGGCCTTATCAGGACAGGAAGGATAAGAATAGTAGAGGGGAAGGATAAAACCATCTGGGCTGTTGGTCTCTGAGGTCAAACAAGAGAACTAAAGGACAACTTACCAGTCTTGCGCATTCAGTTCGCTCACCAACCCACTCTGATGCAGAATACTCAGTCCATATCGAGCATGATGCTGTTCCAAAACTGAGGTGGACTGCACAAACCGGGGTGTTAAAAGCAAAAAGAATTTGTTCGTCAGTGAAAGAATTTGTCAAAATCGGAACCTGATGAAGAATGAAATATCGAGGCAAAGCAACAGTATCTACTGGTATTCCTTGTTTAATCTCTTACTTGGTCGACCGCCCTTCCCGTGAAAGTAGACCAACTCCGTTGTGGACAGAAACGCTTTGCACCGAAATGACAATAGTGGCTTATATAAAAAAAACAGGTAGTTAAAGTGTGTACTTTCGAATACGTTGTTGTCAATCAGTCTAATATTTCACCGAACTTACTGCCTACTTATTGACCGGCCATTTGCCGCATCATTCTGCCTTAATGCACTGAAAGTGCATCTCTCTAGTACCAACTGAAACAATGTATTATGACAATGGCAACTATGATAATGAAGATGTGCCTTGAACTAAGTTCGCGTCTTGAATAATATCGAAACGTGGGACATTAAGTAAGCAGCACATTACGGTGTTCAACAGACTGAGGCGCAGGAGAAAAAGATTCAGTCAAAAACGTCAACGACACAGTAAACGGAATAAATAAGAGATTCACAAAAAAAGTGCAGAATTCGAACAACAGACGCGTAGTCGACATGTTACACATTTCCTGGAGGAAGTACAGCAAATTGGTACACGACTAACTAGTACCATCTCGGGTCATTCCCACCCATCCCTCATTGCAAATTTTACGGAATGATTAGAGCTCATTTTGAGGCTAACTCGGACGTAAAGATGTTACCTACATTGTTCCACCAACGAAATATTGTATTGCAATGTACACAATTTTGGAGGGTCGGGTTTAATCGTCGATTTCAGCTGGCCAGGCAGCATGCGCTACCTTGGTCCCAACTACTTGGACCTATCAATGTCCACACCATTGACTTACGGGATTTTACAGGGCTCATGTGAGCATGAGCGTTTTTGAAAAGACAACTACAGTATTTCTTTATGATATATCAGGGACTGGATTGAGAGTCAGACTACAACACTTCAGGGTAGAATCCTCGGGATAAATCTACGTGCTCAGGAACTAGTAAAGTGTTGTCTGGACCAGAATGCTTCTTCTTTGAAGCGACACGACTGAACCGTTTATTGCAGCAAACGCAGATGCTCAGACAAGCGTTAAAACTCAGCACCAATAAAGAATGACAGGTGCTGTGAACAGAACTAGGAGTCTTCGTCAGGTACACGTATCTGGTGACTATTGGTGCGCATTGTCCGTTAAATCGAACTGAATGTGTTTGAAACGCACCCAGATCCCGCACAATTGTGCGAAGACCGGTTCGAGTAATCTGAGTTGGTACTGGTGCTTCTTCTAAGCTAGTTACAGCAAGAAGAGATCCTGCACCTGATGGTTTTCACGTTCTCAGTGGCAAGTCAAGCGGGTGAAATTAACCAGGAGAAATCCACATGCTTTGACGAGCCTTTTCTTTTTACTCATGAAAAGTATCCAATCTCACCAAGACGCTTCGGAACTTTGTTTTTTTCCCATCCATTCACTCACTTCGACTTATGAGAAAATCGTTTGTACAAAACAAGGAAAATCCAGACAGACAGGCAGGCAGACAGAACACGTGACTGGCAGACGAGATGAAAGTAACATGGTTGTCGCATACACTGCTTATGAATGTCTAGCAAACATTCCAGTCTCAATTCGCTCTTCGGCACAGAGAGACCCGACTAGCCATTCGTGCTAATGTGAATTAGTTTATAAGCAGGACCCGAGTGCCACGACAAACAAAACGGACATGCCTGCTCAACAAAGAGTCTGATCGACTAGGAAAGGTCTATGTCTGTGAGTTTTGTCCAAAATTGAAATCCTAAGGTATGGGTTTGTAATACTGGACTTTCTTACACTATGTTGGGAAGAAAGAAGCAGTAGAAGTTTGGTGACAAACTGAAAGTGTATTAAATTAGACAAAATTCTTGGATGTTGCATTTCGTGTAAGCAAATCTTGGCTTCCAATATATATAT